TTTCTTTGGTTGAAACTTCATTTTACTTGTAGATATAAAGACCAAGGTGGTGTGGGTCAAGGTTAATTTTATTTGCATCATTCTCTAATTGGTTTTCTTCATTTATTCCCTTGCTATTTCTAATAAATATCGATACGAGGAAAAAATATAATTTCATATACAGCGACTCAGTAAAAAAAATATCGTACAAATTATATTTCAAATGGATCTCTTTTTTGTTAGTTATTGCTTGGAACCTTGTTTGGAAATGAGCGTAATTTATTTGATCTTAGATATCGATGCAACTTAAAAGTTGGCTGGTCTACGATCAATTTGGGTGGGATTCTTTACATCTTTGCCACCATACCTTAAATTTAATTCTATTAAAGAATTTTTAAATTCAAAGTAAATCAAAATTAATTGTCTAAACCAAGCCTTTTTTCCATTTCATCTCATACATCCCATCTACCCGGCACTCAATAATCTATTGAACAAAAATATGCCATTTCTTTAGAACTCCAGCATTTAGTGAGTCCTCATTTATTAACGCAATCAAAAGATTTAATTTTAAGTAAGTAAGTAAGTATTTAAGGTATTTTATGGTGGATATTTCTTTCTTATTATCTGCTTCCTGTTCGATCGCGAAAAGTCTTGAAATATACATTTATTTTTGTACACCATCCTGTTATAACCAATTTTATGCTTGTGATCCTCATAGTTACGAAATATTCTGCCAACGAATTCGAAGACTGAATTATATTTTCTCTTTTGCATTACGTTTTATAATTTAGACACTCTAGACGGAGAGCGAGGGAGCTTTGCATGCCTATTCACGCCAGCTCCGATAACACAGTCACCATCGCCGCAACAGGTTCTGCTTCATCAACTGAAGCGGAGTCTGCTTCGGTTTCTGCTTGTCAGCTACCTCCGTCCGCTGACCTGCTGCATTTGGTTGATGAGACCCCCTTAGTTCAGGCAATCTCACTCTCTGTTGGGGCGAGGAACGCAGTTCTCATTCCAGGTGATCCTTCCGGTTTAATTGCGTCGGTTAGGAGAATTAATCAGCCGGGAGAAGACGAGGGAGAAGAATTGGTATTGGATGAAGACGGTGAAG